CGTCACTCTTACCGTTGTTGGTTGTCTGGGAGGGCAGGACTAGTCAATCCCTTTACGAAACCTGTGCATCTTTGCCTTAATCATGGTTGCTTTGTTTACAGCTAGCAAACGTGAGCTCCAAACACTTAAGAAGATACTTATAACTTATAAAACTTATAAAACTTATAACAATAATAACCTTGAGTTGTAAAGTTTGCAAGTTTTCAACTGCATGAATCCTGGTCGAGCTTATTTTCAGATTTTCTTGACAAAATTAATATACAATTTTTCAAATACAATTTATATACAATGTCCGATTAATTGTATTTGCCGGAGATGGGGTTGAAATATGTCTTGTGTATTACTGGTCTATTGTATGATATTCAGTTGTGTGTGTGGCAGTGAATGTGAGCAGTATCTTTACTATCCTGTGTGGCAGTGAATGTGAGCAGCACCTTCACTATCCTGTGTGGCAGTGAATGTGAGCAGCACCTTCACTGTCCTGTGTGGCAGTGAATGTGAGCAGTATCTTCACTATCCTGTGTGGCAGTGAATGTGAGCAGCACCTTCACTGTCCTGTGTGGCAGTGAATGTGAGCAGCACCTTCACTGTCCTGTGTGGCAGTGAATATGAGCAGCACCTTCACTGTCCTGTGTGGCAGTGAATGTGAGCAGCGTCTTCACTGTCCTGTGTGGCAGTGAATGTGAGCAGCACCTTCACTGTCCTGTGTGGCAGTGAATATGAGCAGCACCTTCACTGTCCCGTGTGGCAGTGAATGTGAGTAGCATCCTCACTCTCCTGTGTGGCAGTGAATATGAGCACCACCTCACTGTCCTGTGTGGCAGTGAATATGAACAGCACCTTCACTGTCCTGTGTGGCAGTGAATATGAGCAGCATCTTCACTGTCCTGTGTGACAGTGAATATGAGCAGCATCTTCACTGTCCTGTGTGGCAGTGAATATGAGCAGCACCTTCACTGTCCTGTGTGGCAGTGAATGTGAGCAGTGTCGTCACTGTCCTGTGTGGCAGTGAATGTGAGCAGCACCTTCACTGTCCTGTGTGGCAGTGAATATGAACAGCACCTTCACTGTCCTGTGTGGCAGAGAATATGAGCAGCACCTTCACTATCCTGTGTGGCAGTGAATATGAACAGCACCTTCACTGTCCTGTGTGGCAGTGAATATGAGCAGCACCTTCACTGTCCTGTGTGGCAGTGAATATGAACAGCACCTTCACTGTCCTGTGTGGCAGTGAATATGAAGAGCACCTTCACTGTCCTGTGTGGCAGTGACCAAGGACAGTATCCTCCTCCCCCCCCCCCACTCACTCCAACAGGAAACAGAGCGTGCTGGGAAGGGGGGCGGGCGGGATGCGAACCAGGGTATAGTGACTCAGGCCACCGCCACTGGCACCGGCGCCAGTGACCAACCCCACCTACAAATAGACGTCTATAAGCATGCTCAATGTACAGGGCAGATGTGGCGTCACGGAGAAGGTCGGGAGATGAGCAGGCGAGGCTCCTGATGCCAAAACTCCCCCCCCCCCCCCCCTAAGGTCTGAAATAGACCTTCATGTCTGCCGGCTTATGGACTCATGGCCTGAACTCCTTTAAGGCTTGGATAGTTGGGAAGGGGTGTCCACTCGTCCTATTGGTCCAATGGATAGATAATTTGGATTCATAGACGAGGTGATTTTGGGTCGGTGTTATCTGACGCGATTAGGCAGCTGGAAGGTTGGGTTTGGATATGAGATTTTTTTCTTTTTTTTTTGATTTTGTGTTTTTTTTTTAACATTCCATAATTTTATCACTTCGTTTCAATGGTCATTAAATTTTATAATAATTTTCGCGTACCCGTCTTGAAAACGTAATGAAACCGATTATGTTTTTCATTATATATATATATATATATATATATATATATATATATATATATATATATATATATATATATATATATACATATATATATATATATATATATATATATATATATATATATATATATATATATATATATATATATATATATATATATATATATATATATATATATATATATATATATATATACACTTTTTCTTGAGGTCAAAACCAATAATTTCTTCATATAAGATAAACTCGGGCGATATCTGAGAAAGCTGCAAGGACCAGTGGTCATAATTCATCAAGTATTTACTTGTCCAATTACGAAACCTGTAAATCTTTCAACAGTCATGGCAACTTTTTATGAGAACTTACAAAGACATCTGCAGGAACTCTACAAATGGTCAGAAGACTGGCACATGCTTTTTAATGTCGATAAATGCAAGACCTTGCATGTGGGGCAGAACAATCCACGTGCACATCCACGTCGTCATCCACGTCACGCAACGTGGATGATCCAAATCCACGCAATCCACGTCTCAGCTCCCAAATTAACAGCACTACCTTACAACAGTGAAGAAAAGGACCTTGGAGTGAGAGTCCATCATTCACTAAAGGTTGCACAACAAGACGGAACAGCAGTAAAAACAGCGAACCAATCCCAGGGAATAATCAAGCGTACCTTTACCTTTCAAGAAAAGAAGGTTGTCATTTAATTGTATAAGTCTCTGGTGCGCCCACACCTTGAGTGTTGCCTCCAGGCATGGCGACCTCCTCTTCAGAAAGACATAGCTGCTCTGGAGAAGGTGCAACACCGGGCAACAAAAATAATTCCAGAGCTAAGTCATGTCTTGTATCAGGAAGGGTTGAGGGCCACACGGCTAGCAACACTGCAGACCAGGCATGCCAGCGCGGATCTCATCCATACCTTTAAAATATGTTGTTAAACTTGACCGAAAAAGTAAGATTAATAATTCTAACACGAATTTTCTCAATGTTTCTTATGTTTCTTTTTACTGTCGATGGTAATTGAAAAATTCTCCAAAATTCATTTTTATTTCTAGTCTGACGCGACGCTTGAACGCGTTTCGTAATAACTTATTACATTTTCAAAGTCTTTGAAAATGTTAACAACATATGTTTACAAGAAAGACTGCTACCAAAATATACCTTTAAAATACTGAACAATTTGAAGAATGTCGATCCGGACAATTTCTTCAAAAGTTGAGATGTAACACACACAAGGAGCAACGGTGTCACGCTCAACACGCCACAATATGTAGGACTGAGAACAAGAGATTTTTTCCACCCCCAGGGTTATAAACCCCTGGAGCCGCCTACCCGCTGACAACTCTGTTGGGTGTTAAAATACAGTTGGAAACGATCATCAGGGCAAATGGGGGGACCTTCGACAAGCCGCCGGGTTCCTGTCCTCATCGGGACCACTAGTATAACTGGCTCTCAGGTAAATTCAGGTAAAAATATCCTAGAAGCGCTACAAACTCAAATAATACAAACGAGGAAGCATTATCGAGGAAAGATGTAGAGGTTTCGTAATTGAACATGTAAGTTTATTTTTATGATTCCTGGCCTATTTAACATGACGTCATAATATATTAATAAAATCATATCATTCTACCTGACGATATTCTAATTTTTCTACAAAACAAAGATTGCCGAAAAGGATCTCGTTGACAACTATCCCAGGAGGTTTTTGACTTCCTTGAAATACCCAGAGGCAGTGGATCCCGAAAGACTGGTGAGTGAGGAGGGAGGGCGCACAGATCTGCCCGACATGGCCTCTAAGGGGGCACTGAGCTCGTTTTTCAAACGCCGGTGTATTTAACACGATGCGCTGTTGCCAGCTCCTCATTTTTAAACCCAAATAAAATATATTTTTAATTTTTGTTTGGGTCTAGAAGCTAGCTAACAAGTATTCTGAACCCGTATAACAAGCAATATATACGGATTTAATTCAGTTATTGCAAACTTTATATTTACTTAACCCAATTATAATTTATATTCTAATGCAATTATTTGGCATTTCAGGTTTGTTTTGTGTTTACATTGCTCTCTAGTGCTTGTAGAGTCTTGAGTTGCTCTTATCTTCCTCATTTATAATATGTAATAAGTTATATATTTTTGTCATACTCCTTATGTTGCTTTGCATTACTAAGCTTTAACTGTTGCAAATTAATTTGGCCATTATGTCTCATGTATTAACTTTACATTGATGCATCAGCAGTGATTTTTATCTAACTTTCTAATCCATCTACAGAAGATCTTGACATATGGATAATGTGGTCAAAATTGAGTAACTTTTCAAGTGAACTACAGCACGCCAGGCCTCTCAGGCGCGTGTTGCTTGACCTGTTTAAGACATGAAACACAGAGAGAGAGTTCCATAGTCATATATACCAAATGTAAGTACGTGTTTATGATTGATTTCCAGGAGGACTACTGTGGGTTTATGCCATACACTCCGTCAGTGGCAGCGGTCAGGCGTCGACTTTAAGCCCCTACCTCCTCCTTCTCCTCTTCCTTCTCCTCTTCCTTCAGGCCCTCTGTTTATCTTGTCTTTCCTTCATTCTTCAGTGTTTTCTTAGTCCTATCTCTTCTCCATGTTCCAAAGCTTCGAATATTTCTCTTCATTCTTCTTTCATGCTTCGTCTATCTCTTCTATCCTTCCCAGCTTCGCTGATTCTATCCTTCATTGTTCCATTCACAGGCTTCCTTTCTCTGCCTCTTTAATGCCTCAAACTAATTAACACAAACAAGTAGAGCGATAATCCTAAATGTTAAAAATAACATCCATCGCATTAATCCTAATTCATTGAACTAAATCCACGTCTATTTCGCCCCGAAATGATAAGCTTAAATGTAGACTTAAGCAGTCAGCTTACCAGGACAACTAGTGCTAACTGCACTTCTCTTGTATTGGCCAACAGGATTTCTGCACTTTCGTCACATTGGCCTTCTGCAGTTACTTACAATTTCCTAAATTTATATACGTTGTCTATCGGTACGAGCAGAGTGAAATGGTATCGTTCATTCCCTCGAACGAATCTCGTCTGATCGATTTTTGTGAATTTTGCTTTTTTTCATGTTTTTTGGGGCAAAACAGTAGACAATGTCGTATAATATTTTTGGTTGGTGTTATGGAACCGATATAATGATGAGACGATTTTGTAGAGTTGTGAGGATAGAGCTGTGCACCTGTAGAGTTGTGAGGATAGAGCTGTGCACCTGTAGAGTGTGAGGATAAAGCTGTGCACCTGTAGAGTTGTGAGGATAAAGCTGAACACCTGTAGAGTGTGAGGGTAAAGGTGAACACCTGTAGAGTGTGAGGATAAAGGTGAACACCTGTAGAGTTGTGAGGATAGAGCTGAACACCTGTAGAGTGTGAGGGTAAAGCTGTACCACTGTAGAGTGTGAGGGTAAAGCTGTACCACTGTAGAGTGTGAGGGTAAAGCTGTACCACTGTAGAGTGTGAGGGTAAAGCTGTACCACTGTAGAGAATGCAGAGTCTCCTCACTACACATAAAGTTCAAGCTCTACCCTCTGATCGACCGCCTTATATAATGCTTTATACATGTTCCTTTCCGTGTCTGAAAGCAAATTGTAAAGTCCAAACGCACTGCTTTGTGCTTGTCCTCTTTCCGGGCAGATTTTGTCCTGTCCAATTACTGTTTAACTGCTCGTTATCTTACTGGATTTTGAACCGTGATCTCAAACTTTCTAATGCCTTCAGTCTTCTATATATCTGTCTTATGTTGCACTAATATGCAAAATATATATATGTTGCTTATTCCAAGATTTTTACTGTTTGTTTTAATAAGTTTTAAAGCGTTCTTATATAATATTTTCCGGTGACACTCCATGCAGTTAATCTCTGGTAGATTACACCTACTTTAAAACTCTGGTAGATTATGTCTACTTGGCCACGCTCGTAGATTACTTCTTAAAACCACCCTTTCGTAGATTCCATCGTATTAACGAGATCGTAACTTCCATCTTAAGTTCCATCTCGTTAATTAAAATTTTCTCAAAGTCCCTTTCTCGAAGTTTTTTTTTTCATCTTCTTAGTCAGTCTCTCGTATCTTCCTTGTCTTCAGTCACTCTTGCAGCTGTCTTGACATTTTTCGTGAAGCCTCTTACTGTCTTACTGGTGATGGTTGCTATATACTTATGCAACATCCATAATCTTACTGCATTCTTAATTATAATTCAATTGAAGTTATGTTCTTTTTCTTCAATCAATTTCTGCTTCTTCTCCTTCTTCTATCGTCTATTTCCGCCTTCCGTTAAGTGTTCAAGATTAATAGAATTTCCTTCGTCAAAAGTTGTGAAGTTGTTGCTTCAGTAAGTAACTGTGGTGGGTTCAGTAGGTAGCTCTGAAGCTCTCAGAGTAAGTAACTGTGGTGGGTTCAGTAGGTAGCTCTGAAGCTCTCAGAGTAAGTAACTGTGGTGGGTTCAGTAGGTAGCTCTGAAGCTCTCAGAGTAAGTAACTGTGGTGGGTTCAGTAGGTAGCTCTGAAGCTCTCAGAGTAAGTAACTGTGGTGGGTTCAGTAGGTAGCTCTGAAGCTCTCAGAGTAAGTAACTGTGGTGGGTTCAGTAGGTAGCTCTGAAGCTCTCAGAGTAAGTAACTGTGGTGGGTTCAGTAGGTAACTCTGAAGCTCTCAGAGTAAGTAACTGTGGTGGGTTCAGTAGGTAGCTCTGAAGCTCTCAGAGTAAGTAACTCTGAGAGCTTCAAGTGTTACTGTTGTTGTTGTGCTTCCTTCTCTGGTCTCCTCTAGTGCCTCTTCTCTACTCTTATCATGCTCTCTTATCAAGCATGTTTGTCTCTGTGTGTCTCACGCTTTTCTAACTTCATCCATTTTGATTTTTTTATCCTTGAAACGTATCTTTCCTCTATGAGTTTTCTAGCCTTCTCACTATTCTAAAGACGATCTCTATCCTTCCAACGACTCTTGCCTCTGTTAGTTAGCCTATCCCTTTATGTTGACCAGACCACACACTAGAAGGTGAAGGGACGACGACGTTTCGGTCCGTCCTGGACCATTCTCAAGTCGAATCGACTTGAGAATGGTCCAGGACGGACCGAAACGTCGTCGTCCCTTCACCTTCGAGTGTGTTGTCTGGTCAACATACTTGAGCCACGTTATTGTGACTCATCGCCTGCCTATCCCTTTAGCTGTTTCCCGTCCGGATGTGTTCTATCCTTCAGTAGTTTCCTGTCTTGTGTAAGAGTCTCCTAGCCTTGTGTAAGAGTCTCCTAGCCTTGTGTAAGAGTCTCCTAGCCTTGGGTAGTGGTTCTCCTGTGTGGCAGCCTGCTGTCTTCCTCCGCCGCGTCCACACCTCCGACCGGAGCGAGCGTCGTGTCTGTCAGCCTTAGTCTTCACACACAACCTTGTGAGTTGTGATTAAGTGTGTCGCCTGTTGTACCTTGTTACGAGCGCTGATTTGGTCATTATAAGCATTTTCAAGTCGCCTCAAAAGCCACCTTCCCTCCCTCCCTTCCCCTCCAAAACCCTTGCCGCTGCTTGGAGTGCCTGTGTGCGCTATATCCGGAAGCCTATATGGACCAATATACTGTGTTGTCCGTGTCCGTGGCGGACCATCAGGGCCCGGTGTGGTTCAGGGCCCCCCCTTTCAGACTGCTCTAGAATCCTGTTGAAAGTTCAGTCACACACACACACCACAATCACAGACCACCTGACAACGCGACCACTCAACGACACAGCGACAGAAGACAATCGCGACAGTGTGGCTTTTGTTGATGTGAGCGGCTGTTGTGTGGGCCCCTAAGAGGCCCTGATCTAGCCCCTTGCACTCTTGCATTGTTGCACTGTTCAAGAAATCAACTATTACGACTTGCCAGGTTGAAATTCTTCTTCTTCTTCTTCCCTCTTAAACTGGCAGCTTTCCAAGCACAGTCGCTTGCAACAACGCCAAGCCACCTGCAACACGGCCTTACGAGAAAAAAAAACCCCACTGAAGCTGTAAAACAGGATCGAAATCGCGTCCCTGGCCTCCTCATGCACGCGTGCGCGGTCCAGAGACGCGAGGTCGAGCCCATTTAATGACCTTAATTAATATTTTCTAGTAGATACGTTACATGCTTCTGACGAAGATTTCACATGCGTCATAAGACATCTTGGGATGTTTGTAAACATCTTCATAAACAAGCTGAACAATGTTTACAGTGAGGTATTTATAGTTTGATAATGTTTACTTCAGTTGCTGTTATATGAAGCTTGAGAACCTCAATTTAGTTTAGCCGGAGTACAGGTCATATGAAGAGTCAACATCGCGGTGAATGTTTGTGATGTTTTTGAGGAAATATTTAGGTAGCTCTCACGACTCTCCCAAAGCCTTTGTCTCTTCCCAGAGCCTCTGTCTGGAGCCTTTGCCTCCCCCAGAGCCTCTGTCTGGAGCCTTTGTCTCTTCCCAGAGCCTCTGTCTGGAGCCTTTGCCTCCCCAGAGCCTCTGTCTGGAGCCTTTGTCTCCTCCTTTGTCTCCTCCCAGAGCCTCTGTCTGGAGCCTTTGTCTCCTCTCCCCCAGAGCCTCTGTCTGGAGCCTTTGTCTCCTCCCAGAGCCTCTGTCTGGAGCCTTTGTCTCCTCCCAGAGCCTCTGTCTGGAGCCTTTGTCTCCTCCCAGAGCCTCTGTCTGGAGCCTTTGTCTCCTCCCAGAGCCTCTGTCTGGAGCCTTTGTCTCCTCCCAGAGCCTCTGTCTGGAGCCTTTGTCCCTCCCAGAGCCTCTGTCTGGAGCCTTTGCCTCCTCCCAGAGCCTCTGTCTGGAGCCTTTGCCTCCTCCCAGAGCCTCTGTCTGGAGCCTTTGTCTCCTCCCAGAGCCTCTGTCTGGAGCCTTTGCCTCCCCCAGAGCCTCTGTCTGGAGCCTTTGTCCTCCCCCAGAGCCTCTGTCTGGAGCCTTTGTCCCTCCCAGAGCCTCTGTCTGGAGCCTTTGTCCCTCCCAGAGCCTCTGTCTGGAGCCTTTGCCTCTTTCCAGAGCCTCTGTCTGGAGCCTTTGTATCTCCCAGAGCCTCTACCTGGAGCCTTTGGCTCCTCCCAGAGCCTCTAGCTGGAGCCTTTGTCTCCCCAGAGCCTCTGTCTGGAGCCTTTGCCTCTCCCAGAGCCTCTGTCTGGAGCCTTTGTCTCCCCCCCATAGCCTCTGTCTGGAGTCTTTGTCTCTCCCAGAGCCTCTAGCTGGAGCCTTTGTCTCCCCCTAACCCCATCTGGTCTGTATCACCCCCCAGAAACCCCTTCACGTGTCCCTGGCATCAGACCTCCCCGTAAAGGCTGGCCCCACAAGCTTCTGCACGATTGCTAATCAATTTCCTTTTTTTATTTTGCAACCCCAGACACTGCTGCCTTGTTTGTGCTTCCTGGTTCATGAACCATTATAACCATTGATCTAACCATTGATCTAACCATTGATCTAACCATTGATCTAACCATTATCTAACCATTAGATCTAACCATTATTTACTGCATTTTCTGCTAATTTGTCATGTTATTAACGTCGTTTTGTTTGTACCACTGAACGCAACTGTTTGCAACAGTTGTGCAATAAGGGTTTTGCAATTTATATTAAATTAAAATTTAGCAAGAATTGGTAACACACACACACATTAATTGATACCATTTTATTGATACCATTTTATTGATAAAAATATTGATTTTATTTTAATGATGGTATCATTAATTGATGCCATTCATTGACCTTAATTGATACCATTTTATTATTATTATTATTATTATTATTATTATTATTATTATTATTAATACTTTTATTAACATTATCATTACTGCTGTGATAATTGCTGTTAACTGAGAGAATATGGGCTTCATTTTCACTTTAAATTGGCAGTAGAGAGAGTTATAAAAATGATGACCTGAGAGAGATACATAAGAGACAGGGAGATACATATGAGACAGGGAGATACGTAAGTGATAGGGAGATACATAAGAGACAGGGAGATACATAAGAGACAGGGAGATACATAAGAGACAGGGAGATACATAAGAGACAGGGAGATACACAAGAGATAGGGAGATACATAAGAGACAGGGAGATACATAGGAGACAGGGAGATACATAAGAGACAGGGAGATACATAAGAGACAGGGAGATACATAGGAGACAGGGAGATACATAAGAGACAGGGAGATACATAAGAGACAGGGAGATACATAAGAGACAGGGAGATACATAAGAGACAGGGAGATACATAAGAGACAGGGAGATACATAAGAGACAGGGAGATACATAAGAGACAGGGAGATACATAAGAAAAAATACATAGAGAAAGATAAACAGATGCAGACAAACAGGCAACGAAATGGAAAATGAAAGGGGAACAGGCAAAGAGGAACCTCTCTCTCTCACACACACACACACACACACACACACACACACACACACACACACACACACACACACACACACACACACACACACACACAGAGTCTTTAAAGACTTTGTCCCTATTAAGCCTTTAAGTCTAATCGCCGCTAAGACTGGCAAAGTGACCCGTCATCCAGTGTTAAGTTGATTACGTATGTGGGTTCCTGTAGGTTCATGTGGGTTCTTGTGGGTTCCTGTGGGTTCCTGTGGGTTCCTGTGGGTTTATGTGGGTTCATGTGGGTTCATGTGGATTCCTGTGGGTTCATGTGGGTTCATGTGGGTTCATGTGGATTCCTGTGGGTTCCTGTGGGTTCATATGGATTCTTGTGAGTTCCTGTGGGTTCCTGTGGGTTCATGTGGATTCTTGTGAGTTCCTGTGGGTTCATGTGGGTTCATGTGGGTTTCTTTGAGTTCCTGTGGGTTCCTGAGGGTTCCTGTGGGTTCCTGTTGGTTCCTGTGGGTTCTTGTGGGTTTCTGTGGGTTCCTGTTGGTTCCTGTGGGTTCATGTGGGTTCATGCGGGTTCATGTGGGTTCATGTGGTTTCCTGTGGGTTCATATGGATTCTTGTGAGTTCCTGTGGGTTCCTGAGGGTTTCTGTGGGTTCCTGTGGGTTCCTGTTGGTTCCTGTGGGTTCATGTGGGTTCATGTGGGTTCATGTGGATTCCTGTGGGTTCCTGTGGGTTCATGTGGATTCTTGTGAGTTCCTGTGGGTTCCTGAGGGTTCCTGTGGGTTCCTGTTGGTTCCTGTGGGTTCCTGAGGGTTCCTGTGGGTTCCTGTTGGTTCCTGTGGGTTCTTGTGGGTTTCTGTGGGTTCCTGTTGGTTCCTGTGGGTTCATGTGGGTTCATGCGGGTTCATGTGGGTTCCTGTGGGTTCCTGTGGGTTCCTGTGGGTTCATGTGGGTTTCTGTTGGTTTCAGTTGGTTCCTGTGGGTTCCTGTGGGTTCCTGTGGGTTCATGTGGGTTCCTGTGGGTTTCAGTTGGTTCCTGTGGGTTCCTGTGGGTTCCTGTGGGTTCATGTGGGTTCATGTGGATTCCTGTTGGTTTCAGTTGGTTCCTGTGGGTTCATGAGGGTTCCTGTGAGTTCGTGTGGGTTCGTGTGGGTTCGTGTGGGTTCGTGTGGGTTCATGTGGGTTCGTGTGGGTTCGTGTGGGTTCCATTTGGGTTCCTGTATTGCATCCTGTGATATCAGACTTAACTAGACCTTCAACCCACAACCAGACTCGTTATCTCTCCACTCCGCAGACTCAGACATTCTGCTGGAGGTAAACTCCGACACTCATCAGGTACCTGTAACTCTCCCGGGAGTTACATCCTACTCCAGTTATGTTAGACCAACGTAATATTAACGTTGCTGCAACGTAAGATTTACCTTGGTGCAACGTTTAAATATTGTAAGCTTAAACGACGATGCAACGTATGATGTACGTTGTTGCAACGTAAATTGAACGCTGCTGCGACGTTAGATAAACGTATGATTAACGTTGATACGACAGGAGATATTCGTTGCAGCAACGTTAAATCAGTGTTATTTGAACGTTGCTGCAATGTTAAATCAATGTAATATGAACGTTGCAGCAACGTTAAATCAACAAAAAGATGAACGTTGTTGCAACGTTAGATAAACGTAAGATGAACGGCAATGCAACGTTAAATCAACATAAAACTAACGTACTTTGCCCACGGGATACCAACGTCTTTTAACGTAACGACCGACAAACTTTTAATACGCGATATCCTCGCATCACAACACGTACACGAAGCCTCCCGCCCCTGAAGCCCCCCCCCCTGAAGCCCCGCCCCTGAAGCCATGCCCCTGAAGCCCCCCGCCCCTGAAGCCCCCCCCCCCTGAAGCCCCCCGCCCCTGAAGCCCCCCGCCCCTGAAGCCCCGCCCCTGAAGCCCCCCGCCCCTGAAGCCCCCCCCTGAAGCCCTGTGTGACCCCTGAAGCCCTGTGTGACCCCCGCCCCTGAAGCCCTGTGTGACCCCCGCCCCTGAAGCCCTGTGTGACCCCCGCCCCTGAAGCCCTGTGTGACCCCCGCCCCTGAAGCCCTGTGTGACCCCCGACACTGACCACATTCTTGGTGTTACAGGAGACGCAGAACATGGAGCCCTCCGCCGTGCCTCCGGTGACCCGACCTCCCATCAGGGCCTCGTCCCCGATCTTCGGCGGAGACTTCGACCCTCACGCCTACGAGCCCCGATCCTTCGCTCCCTCGGACTTCGAGCGACAGGCGGACGATATCATCGCAAACTTCCGCGCCAGGCAGGGCTTGCCCCTTGAGGTGGGTGGCGGAGGCGGACTAACCAGGGCAGGTAAAATGGATGGAATAGACAGGGAGAAGGGTAGAAAGGACGGAATGGACAGGGAAAAGGGTAAAAAGTAAGGAATAATCAGGAGAGAAGTGTAGAAAGGATGGAATAGAAAGCGGGAGGGGTAGAATTAAGAACGAAATAGTCAGGGGGGAAGAATAGAAAGTACAGAATAGACAGGGAGAAGGGTAGAAAAGACGGAATAATCAGGAGGAAGGGTAGTAAGGACGGAATAGATAGACAGAAGGGTAGAAAGGACAGATTAGATAGGGAGAGGGATAGAAAGGAGTGAATAGACAGGGAGAGGGGAGCATAAGGAATCAATAGCATCCTCAGAAAGCGGAGGTCAACAGGAGGAAGAAAGGAGTGTAGATATATCTACAGGACGTTGACGTGATTTGATGCAGGTAGATAGCTGTAGACATGGTGGTAGATACGAGTAGACGGGACCAAGTAATATATGTAGAATAGTGAACCTGGAGAGAGCAACAAGTACAGACGAGGTTTTCAAGGCAGGTCCAGCTAGGATGGTGACCAGAGGACGGTGGTAAATACACCTTGGAAGCTGTTGTAGAGAAAGACAGAGGGGGGGGGGTGAGGAAAGGGGGGTGAGAGAGGGGAGGGGGGATAGGTGAGGGGGAGGGACGGAGGGGGAAGAGGAATTTGGTAGAAATTTTGGTTGAGTGTAGGAAAATTCCTAAATAGGGGTGAAAGTAGGTTAGTGTAAAGTGGAAAATAGGTTGAGGGAGAGTGGAAAATATTTTGAGTTAAAATAGGGTGAGGATCTACACTCTGTAGATCTCTCCCCGACCGGGGAGCCGGTCGGCCGAGCGGACAGCACGCGGGACTTGTGATCCTGTGGTCCTGGGGTCGATCCCAGGCGCCGGCGAGAAACAATGGGCAGTTTCTTTCACCCTATGCCCCTGTTACCTAGCAGTAAAATAGGTACCTGGGTGTTAGTCAGCTGTCACGGGCTGCTTCCTGGGGGTGGAGGCCTGGTCGAGGACCGGGCCGCGGGGACACTAAAAAGCCCCGAAATCATCTCAAGATAACCTCAAGATAACCTGTATCATATCTAACACCTTATAATCTAATTCTTTAATTAAGTTTCAGGCACATCCCAAATAGGTAAAAAATTATCATTTTGAGAAGAGATATATTAAAATATATATATATTTCATGGACCTAAATACTTGACTAATGTATGATTACAGAGACCCAGTCACAGTAACATTGATGAGACAGATAAGTCAACCCACACATGTGAAACGAACGTGATGAGGTTTCAGTCCGTCTTGGGACCCTTATCATGTTATTCCAGTCCATTTTGTACCCTTATCAAGTTATTTTGGTCCATTTTGGGCCTTTATCGAGTCATTTCAGTCCATTTTGTACCTTTATCAAGTTATTTTAGTCCATTTTGGACTTTTATCAAGTCATTTCAGTCCATTTTGTACCCTTAACAAGTTATTTTGGTCCATTTTGGACCTTTATCAAGTCATTTCAGTCCATTTTGTACCCTTAACAAGTTATTTTGGTCCATTTTGTACCCTTAACAAGTTATTTTGGTCCATTTTGTACCCTTAACAAGTTATTTTGGTCCATTTTGGACCTTTATCAAGTCATTTCAGTCCATTTTGTACCCTTAACAAGTTATTTTGGTCCATTTTGGGCCCCTTATCGAGTCATTTCGGTCCATCCTGGACCCCCTGATAAAGTTCGTATCACATGCATGGGTTGGGTTATTGACTTATTCATCATTTAATAATTAATTTATTTGAATTAAGATTTGCATTTATTATTCAGGAAGGTTTATAGGACTGTTTTATGTTAAGATATTTAACCCAGTTTCCAAAACAGTACAGCTAGAAAAAAAAAAAAAAAACGTTTTTCCAGAGAACAATTCAAAACAAAAAGCAATAAAGGGCTTAAATTATTATGCAAATCAAACACTTTGAGAACACTTTGAGAGCACTTTGAGAACACTTTGAGAACACTTTGAGAACACTTTGAGAACACTTTGAGAACACTTTGAGAACACTTTGAGAGCACTTTGAGAACACTTTGAGAGCACTTTGAGAACACTTTGAGAACACTTTGAGAACACTTTGAGAACACTTTGAGAACACTTTGAGAACACTTTGAGAGCACTTTGAGAACACTTTGAGAGCACTTTGAGAACACTTTGAGAACACTTTGAGAACACTTTGAGAACACTTTGAGAGCACTTTGAGAACACTTTGAGAGCACTTTGAGAGCACTTTGAGAACACTTTGAGAACACTTTGAGAACACTTTGAGAGCACTTTGAGAACACTTTGAGAACACTTTGAGAGCACTTTGAGAGCACTTTGAGAACACTTTGAGAACACTTTGAGAACACTTTGAGAGCACTTTGAGAACACTTTGAGAGCACTTTGAGAACACTTTGAGAACACTTTGAGAACACTTCCCATAAATCCGAGGGAATTAAGTCACTTAAGGTTCATTTGTGGTGGTTTAACCACTTGTAAAGTGCCACTTGTAAAGTGCCACTTGTTGCCACTAACTTGTTTAACTTGTTTAACTTGTTTAACTTGTTTAACCACAACTTTATTTGTGGTGGTCTAATCTCTCCTTTGTAGGACGAACTAAAGTTCTGAATAACTCCACAAAACGAGTAAATAAAGCATTTGATCATCATTTAAAATTTTAATTTACGAGAACACTTTTTTAAAGATTAGTCAAGCCTAGGAGGATAAATTTAAGTCAATGTAAGTTTAATTTATCTTTAATTTACTAGTTAAAGGCTATTAATAGACTTAAAAATCTATTTATATCTTCAGATTAGACAGAGAAGCCCTTTATAAAGTTTTAAACAAGATCAGGAGGTTCAGTCCCCAAGGGGGAAGTAAAGCCAATTAAACTTTAAGTTGAAAACCCGGAAGAGTAAATCAAGCTTTAAAAACGTTCACATAAGACTGGTTATTACACCAAGCTGTTATGGAAGATGATTATAGCCCCCACCAGGAGTTTTGCCCCCCCTCAGCCCACCCTGTAGGGCCACCCTGTAGGCCCACCCTGTAGACCCACCTTCTAGGCCCACCCATGTGATTACACCACACGCCCACATCACAGCACACACCCCCTCTGGCCATCCCACGGTACATTCCTCGGCCCGTGGTTCGATTCTTCCCAATCTCAGCCCACCACCAATCAGGGTCCATCTCTCATACATCCTATTTGAGTCTAACTCATTTCAGTTCCATCAGTTCACTTATTTCCGCCCCTCCCAGCTCACTCATCTCCCAGTTTCCCCTCACTCACTCACTTTAACCCTCTCTACGCTGACTCTGACTGACAAGCTCCTCCTTCACTCACTAAGGTAAGCAGGAATTCATTAAACTTTCATTCCACCTAAACGATCAAACAGTTCCAAATTCTGATGATATAATTCGAAAATTTCCAACACAGAAAATTAAGCTTTTGATTTAGTACGAAATAAAACCTTTTATAAGATTTGTTCGGTAAAAAAAAGTCAAGTTTATTTTAGTGAAACTAATTTTTTTTTTTGCCAATGTTTTTTCAAGCAGTTTTTTTTCTAAATAATGATACAATAAGGTATGTTTTCCAAAGGTAAACAGAGGCATGGCTTGCATATCAGTTCTGAAGTACAATGGCATATTTTTGCAAATGAGAAATCCACTCTCATTGAGCTCTGAATGAGAAGGACATGCTGTATGCTTCCCCCCACCCTGGGCACTGCTGGACAAACTACAGTGATGTGCCATTAAATCAATGTTGATGCAACATTGGATCAACGTTGATACAACGTTCTATCAACGTTGGTACGACGATCTATCAACATTTGATACAACGTTCGACCAATGTTGATACAATGTACGACCAACTTTGATACAATGTACAATGAACGCTGATACAATGTACGATCATCATTGACAACGTAGGAGCAACATTAATACAGACTAGCATTAATGCTGATACAATGATCAACTTAAGTAATGTTACAACCAACATTGATGCAATGTAGTTTCAACATTGATCTTACATTGACTAAATGTCCCCAGAAAACCAACCTTCAGCGGAAAATATATGTTCCTTATGCCTTTAATAAACCTCTTGTCTCCACGATGCAGTAGATTCAGCTGTGTCTGTTCTTGAGATCAGACCAGCAAATACACAATGCAACTGCAGCATTGCAGAAACTCTATTACATTGTTGCAAAGCAAAAAAAAAAACACTTTGCAATTGCATTGGGTATTAGCTGGGAAGGAGACAATGGTGAGTGTTGAAATTCAGGGCAGTTTCCATTTTCGAATTTGGAGACTTCTTGACACACCTCTATTGCATGATGGGAAGTTATTATTACCCCCCCCCCCAAGCAGGAATATGATATCGCGTAATGTTGCGTCAATGTTGCATCAGTGTCAATATGTTGGTTCATCATGGTATAAACGATATTTCAATGTTGCATTAATAGTGGAGCATCGTTGTATCAATGTTGCATTAAAGTTGGATCATCGTTGTAAATGTTGTTTCATTATCGGATCAACATTATAAACATTGACTCCCAGTTACAGCAGCACTTGTCCAGGTGTGCTCTAGGGGGCTCTGCCTGTCCTTGTCCCACCCAACTCGACCACCTCACAGCGTGGATGCCTTTGTCCACTTTATCCTTTTTTTGCCTGTTGAGGCACTCTAATGATGCCATATACCACCCAACAGCCCAAACTGTGCCCCTGCAAGGTGGGCGTCTATGCAGGCACAGGCTGCACGTGCTTCAAGTCCAAGCTCCTCCAGGTTCTTGCCTAAGCCCCGGGGCTAGCTAAGACAACGCCGCTCTTGTGCCAAGGACCCGATATCAACATGTAGGTCCTTAGGAGGCTCCGGCCTCTGTAGGAGTGATAGTGGCTTGTGGGTGTCTGCTTCCTGTGTAGTGAGAGATGTTAGCATTGCTCCATATATCCACAACACTTATGTTGCCTCGTTGAATACTCTAACTGTCCAGTGATCCTATTCATCCGTGTCTGTTTTGATCGGTCACGCGAGACATTGAGCAAGAACTGAGCAAGGTGGAGCCGACGCAGGATTAAGCAACTATTGTAAGAGTTTGAGAAGTTTACATTCCTGCTTGCCCTACCCAGTGAGTGAACATTGCGACCCTCGTGTGCAATCCTCCATCATTATCTGTGGCAGCCTGTATCACCCCCTTGCATAATCCAGTGTCCCCCTAGGGTTGCCTAATTCCCTTAAGATGTAATCAAGGATTATCCATCATTCAATAGGATACCCAAATGCTCTTAAGATATAGTTTAGGATAATCCCCCGACCCACCCCCCTAGGATAAGCCACAGCAAAAACACGATGTATCTACAACGTTTATAAACCGTTATTGCATTGTAAAAACGAAAATCTGGCAAAATAACGTTGTGGCTACGTAGCGTGTTTGTCCATTGTGTACATAAGTGAACAGCAGTTACGACCTTACTAAGATATCCCTTAGAACAACATATCTACTGGAATAACCCCCATTTTCTTACTCTCCTGCCCCAACCCCCCCAACCCCCACCCTCCATAGAATGTTCCATGACTGCTCTTATAGTGTTAAGTCCTCTTTCCAGGACGCCCGGGAGGCGATCCAGTATTTGGACGACACTTACGGGAAACTCTCGAACACGTTGCGTAAAGAGGTACCAACAGCACCTGTCTGCCGCTGCTCTTAAGTCTTGTTGATTTACTCGATTGTATTGACCTACAGAGTGCTGTTGTGTTGACTAGATGGGTTGAGTAAGCAGCATGTGGAAGGCTGTATCACACAAACGCACATCCTAACATCCTCCAACACAGTCTAGACGCAAACACACAAACTCCTTGAACAAGCACAGCCTTAACAAACAAACGCTTCTCAGAGACTGAAGACGATGGGGTCGTGGAACAAAGACAGCAACTCTAACGTATTGTTCACACTGCTGCAACCTCCCCGATACATTGTTCATTATTATTCATTCAATTATCTGCAAAACGGAGAATACCTAACAGGTGGGAATCAAATTACCATGATCATATAAATTGGTAATTCTAATTATTTCCATGGTTCGAGCGGATGAAATACTAAAAATTGTACGATGCGGGATCGATCCCGTCACAGCTCTTAGATTTTCCCAGATATATCATGATCCATTAATTTCATTCTTACGACAAGTTCTTCCGTCTTAGATCTTTCGCGGCCTTCATTGAAATAATCATGGAGTTCACCCTAATATTTGGATATACGTGGACAGGAACGCAAGACAACGAGTTTATATCTTGAAAAATTCAAGATTTGTCTATCTTAAAATTTGCTTTCGGAAGGCTGCGTTGCGCATTATCGTTGCTAGATAGGTCTTCTGACTCTGGTATGTTAACATTAACCGTTATCCTGCGCTAGCAGGATAACCTTGACGCCGGGGTTACTAACGAGGGAGTAGGACCAACACTAATCGAGGACAATCGACTTGAGAATGGTCCAGGACGGACCGAAACGTCGTCGTCCCTTCACCTTCTAGTGTGTGGTCTGGTCAACATAAATTTAGCCACGTTATTGTGACTCATCGCCTGCATAGGACCAACACATTGAAAAATGGCATTAGAATAACTATACCAACTTTTGGCGTGGGATTTAAACCCACCAAACACACAGCGAAACTACGACGTTGGTACAACGTTCGAGCAAGTTTTAACACCTCCTAACCAGTTATAACAACCAATATAGCAAGTTGTAACAACGTTCTAATACGTCATAAACACGTTAAGCCAAGATGTAACAACTTTATTTCAAGTTGTAACAAGCGGAAAATAGAGACAGTTTCGGTTCGTGTTTCCAGGGAAGCGTGCTTCTACTTGGAGGTTCTCCTGGTGTCATTCAGCTGTTACATGCGCGGATTCTTGCAGGCTCATTAACTAGACTTAGTGTTGTTAAAATGAATACACCAGGCATGTCAAACTACGTGTCACCCCAAGGGCCAGATGGGCCACATTTGTGTTGTCATGAGGGTCACGCTTGACAACTAATTGAAGTCATTTAATAAAAACTATTCCAGAATATTTGTATTACTTAGACTTAGAAACATACAATGTGCATACAAATAGTTTAGCAGTTAGCCATTTTCATGAATGCAAAGTAATGAAGTACTTTAACAAAAGAAAAAAAAATGAAATTTTAAAAGGCAACATAGACTTCTATGCAACAGCAACAAATACATTGTACAACAATTACAACAGTTCAAAATGAACAATTATTTACGACTATTTAATAATTTTTGTGTTTTGTCCTGAGGCTTGACACGCCTCTTATTAATGACAATTTTTACTGTCTCAGGCTGAAATGTCTGTTCAGTTGCCACTTTGATCAGTAATGTCTGTTCAGTTCCCACTTTGATCAGTAATGTCTGTTCAGTTGCCACTTTGATCAGTAATGTCTGTTCAGTTCCCACTTTGATCAGTAATGTCTGTTCAGTTGCCACTTTGATCAGAAATGTCTGTTCAGTTCCTACTTTGATCAGTAATGTCTGTTCAGTTGCCACTTTGATCAGAAATGTCTGTTCAGTTCCTACTTTGATCAGTAATGTCTGTTCAGTTCTCACTTTGATCAGTAATGTCTGTTCAGTTCTCACTTTGATCAGTAATGTCTGTTCAGTTCTCACTTTGATCAGAAATGTCTGTTCAGTTGCCACTTTGATCAGAAATGTCTGTTCAGTTCCCACTTTGATCAGAAATGTCTGTTCAGTTCCTACTTTGATCAGTAATGAGAAGTGTTCATCAGTCAGCCTTGTTCTCTGACAAGTTTTTGACCATTTTTTTTTGTTATTCACCATGAAGGAAAATAACTGTCTGAAAAAAATAAAAAATAAAATTACAAATATAATCACCGGTTAAAAAAACTGAAACAAAATCTAGACGAGCTTAACAGTTAACGTCCTGTCTATTTTTAGAAGTCTTAACTCGCTTTTCTCACAGATGCATTCGTGTTTATTTTGTCATTTGGAAATCTATTAAAAGGTGATAATATAAATTATAAAAACTGCAATTTTGGGCATTAAATGACCATATTACAGTAACCTCTGTGTAGGCCGAGGGTGTGTTTGCAAAGGGCCACATGTTTGACATGCCTCCTGTTCATTCCCCATGACCGTACGACAGAGGAATGGTAATTACCAGTTGTTAAATCTGGGTGAATTGCTTGAACGAGACAACAATCTGTAGTTACACCGACTTTCCTGTTCTTCAAGACCAGACCTCTACCACAACAAGGCACCGACATCCCAGTGACCCAGCTGGACCTAAAACAGGGTTATGCCTATCAACCCAAACACAGCGTGCCCAACCTTCCACAGGGCACACTCATCAACCCAAGCACAGCATGCCCAACTTTCCACAGGGCACACTCATCAACCCAAACACAGCGTGCCCAACCTTCCACAGGGCACACTCATCAACCCAAGCACAGCGTGCCCAACCTTCCACAGGGCACACTCATCAACCCAAACACAGCGTGCCCAACCTTCCACAGGGCACACTCATCAACCCAAGCACAGCGTGCCCAACCTTCCACAGGGCACACTCATCAACCCAAACACAGCGTGCCCAACCTTCCACAGGGCACACTCATCAACCCAAACACAGCGTGCCCAACCTTCCACAGGGCACACTCATCAACCCAAACACAGCGTGCCCAACCTTCCACAGGGCACACTCATCAACCCAAGCACAGCGTGCCCAACCTTCCACAGGGCACACTCATCAACCCAAACACAGCGTGCCCAACCTTCCACAGGGCACACTCATCAACCCAAACACAGCGTGCCCAACCTTCCACAGGGCACACTCATCAACCCAAACACAGCGTGCCCAACCTTCCACAGGGCACACTCATCAACCCAAACACAGCGTGCCCAACCTTCCACAGGGCACACTCATCAACCCAAACACAGCGTGCCCAACCTTCCACAGGGCACACTCATCAACCCAAACACAGCATGCCCAACCTTCCACAGGGCACACTCATCAACCCAAACACAGCGTGCCCAACCTTCCACAGGGCACACTCATCAACCCAAGCACAGCGTGCCCAACCTTCCACAGGGCACACTCATCAACCCAAGCACAGCGTGCCCAACCTTCCACAGGGCACACTCATCAACCCAAACACAGCGTGCCCAACCTTCCACAGGGCACACTCATCAACCCAAGCACAGCGTGTCCAACTTTCCACAGGGCACACTCATCAACCCAAACACAGCGTGCCCAACCTTCCACAGGGGCCACCCCATTGCCCGTCGCCCGAATCACTTAAGTTGTCTCCCGCTGCCCGAGGGAGGCACCTCACCGCCGTCCTCTGAAAGAGTTCACTAGCTTGGTCCTTCGAGCCGAAGCTTACACACAAAATTAAGTTCATTCCTATTGTGGAGATAATATATTGATAAATACATTTATATGCTGGTGTATTTTTTTTTTTAAAGATACATTAATATCTATAATGTCATTAATATGATTGCCTTGGAAATTCACATCAGATTTTTGTCCCATTATGTGTCGATTTGCAATAATTCTTAGCCTTGTTCTGCTGAGCGCTGTCCTGGGCTGCTGAGCATTATCTTGAGGTGCTGAACACTGACTTAAGTTACTTAGCAGTATATAATATTAATTCATGAGAGTATTCTCTGCCCCCTGAGCCTAAGCTTCCTCGCCGTCTAAGGTCCTGGCTGGCACATTTAATACGTAATATTACAGTGTTATTCCTCAATTTTTTCCCCCTTACAGAAGTTTTTGGGGCGCCTGTAGACGCTTGTCTCAGTATTTCACTTGCATGTAAGTTGTTGGCAACTCTATTGGGCTCTGTGACCCTATCTTTCACTCAAGCGCTCGCTTTCTCTGTTCCCTCAAGCGCTCGCTCTGATCCTTCAAGCACTCGCTCTCTCTGTTCCCTCAAGCGCTCACTCTGATCCTTCAAGCACTCGCTCTCTCTGTTCCCTCAAGCGCTCGCTCTGATCCTTTAAGCACTCACTCTCTCTGATCCTTCAAGCACTCGCTTAATGTTTCCCCCAAGCAATAGCTGTTCCTCAAGCGCTTGCTTGAAGTTTCCCCCAAGCGATAGCTATTCCTCAAGTGCTTGCTTGCTGTTTCCCCAAGCGATAGCTGTTCCTCAAGCACTCGCTCTTTTCTGTAGAAAGAGCTCCAGCCGCTTGCTTGCGCAGTCGATAGCTTGCTGCTCGGGCTGAGAAAGGTTCCATTGTTAATGATTCGGTCCCTCCATATTCCTTTTTCGAAATTATCATTATGTGATATTAAGAAAAAAAGAGAATCCTTTTCATTGTCCTCATGTGTCTAGGGTAATCCCTTATTGGTTGAGGAAAAGATTTATTATCGAACGATTCAATTTAATTACTAATTTAATAACTGAAGTAATTTAGTTTAATCATCGAATCATTAACTTTTTCAGCTTTAATTATGCCCATCGCCCTCTTGACAATACACTTTCGTAAGTTTGCATGTCAAAATAATAATTTTCTTTAGAATTACTTATATTTTGTTGTATATATTTTGAATAATAATCTAAACTCATAATAATGCTTAACCAGACAACTATTAAGAACGTTGGAAGAATCCATAATATTTACAAACGTTGCCCAGAATGGAAAACGTTTAAGTTGGTAACACTTCAAGTAGCTGAGTGGCCCTGTTTGGCGCTGATGAGTGACCAGTACAGACGCAAATGAGTGACCCTTGTACATGCAGATGAGTAACTCCCAAACAAAGGAGCATACCAAGAGGTATACCAAGAGGTATACCAAGAGGTATACCTCTACCTCTCGGTGTACATACACACTCAGAGTTTCCTTTAGTCCTGGACAATGTTCAGGACTGAAGAATGCTTTCTGATTGGTCAGTAAGGTATTGTGGTGGCCTTAACAACCCTCCAGAGGTTGATAGGCCTTAAGTCCAAAGGCCTTGGTTGATAGGCCTTAAGTCCTTAAGTTCTCCAAAATTAATTTCCAGGTCACTGTGACTCTGGCCTGGGGTCACACGACGAGGAAACGTTTTAATTTACTTGCACCGAGTTGAAACATTTAAACAATAATGGGCAATTTTCCCCAATTTGAAAAAAAGAATCATGTGCTGCCAGTATTGACACGAATCTTGTGCTTGCTGTTTGTCGCTTATATGAAATAAACCTGTCATCTTTTGTGTAGATTAACAAGCAATAATTACGTTGTCAACTACCACTCTAGACTAAATTGCTGGCAATATCGTTGCTCGCGATTGTTTGACCCTTTTATCATGATCTGTATTGGGTTAGGTTAGATTTAACTTCTCAAAATTTTGTCGCGAGCACAAACAAAACCATCGACCACCCTCTACGTAAGAAATCTCGCTACGTCACATCAGTACAATTGACATTAATTTGTCTAGTGAAGTATAGCGAACGTGCGTATTTCGTTAATTCTTCACTGCCGTGTGTCGGTACGGGTGTGTGCGCTACACCGGGCCAACCAACGCCGGACTTTGCCTTGCAGTTTTGCTGCTTTTTAGAGTATAGCTTGAAGTTGGCGTCCTTGGATCTCAACAGGCGTCGTCCTCGGTGCGCGCTACGGCCGGAGACTCCAAGGCGTCCCTCTCCCGTCTGGCTCTCACCTCCACCCAGGTGAACGCCGCGGCCAAGGAGGAGTCAGCGGTGTCCACAGCATCATCGCGGGTACGTTCATCTCTCCATCTCCCTGCGGCGGAGGATGCTGGCTCGCCAGGGCGCCGCCAGGACCCAGTAGTCGTTCACTAGATGACAATACGACGCCGTCCTTAATCTACTTCTCTATCGGTGTGACGTAGATGCATATGACAGCGAATAACTGCTCCTTAGAGATACTCCTCTTCCTTCCGTGTTACTTCCTGTCATTCATGTCTGTCAGCTTCTTCTGCACCTTCTTATGGGTTCCTGGAGGCGTCACGTGGGTATTCCGTAGAAGAGAGAGCTCTCTGTAGAGTGTGACAGTCCGTCTGCGGTCCAACACGTAGTGTAGTGACGAGTGTAATGTTCCGTTAAGCGTTCTGGTGTGTAGCCGTCCGCCTCTGAGTCCTGTGAGTGCACGCAACTCGCTGCAAGTAACAATAGTCTGCCGTCTCGGACTCAATCCCCGTAGCCCCAAAACGCAGGAAATCGCGACCTAGGGGGTATATATATAGAGACATTAATTGATTGTTACGCTTTGATTTAACCACTATGGGACTTCTGGTTAGCATCCTGGTAGAGTCGAAATTTGGGACTTTTTTCATTTTGGGGGGAAGGGCCACGGGGTGACCCTCAGGGCCACGCGGTGACCCCCAGGGCCACGGGGTGACCCCCAGGGCCACGCGGTGACCCCCAGGGCCACGGGGTGACCCCCAGGGCCACGGGGTGACCCCCAGGGCCA